TATATATATATATAATATAAAAGAAAATAATACTAAATATAAAATACTAGACCAATAAATATAAAACAATAGTATAATACTATATATAAAATAGTAATCATAATAATACAATAATCAAATACTAAATATAAAATAATACTAAAATAATAGATATAGAAATATATATATATAATACTAATTATAAAATAATACTAAACCCATCAATATAAAATAGTATACTATTAAATATTAAATAATAATATTATAGTATAAGACTAAATATGAAATAATACTAAATGAATAAATATAAAATAATAGTATTATATTACATATTAAATAATAATAATATTGCAATATAAAGGTAAATATAAAGTAATGCTAAAGGAATAAATATAAAAATAGTATAATATTAAATAATAATATAATATAAAATAAAATATAAAGTAATGCTAAAGGAATAAATATAAAAATAGTATAATATTAAATATTAAATAATTATATTATTAGAATATATAATATAAAATATAATACTAAACCAATAATATAAAACTAAATATAAATAGCATTATAATATAAATAATATATTTAATGTATTGTCAAAGAAAGCCTTCAACAATACATTAAATATAAATACTACATGAATAAATATAAAAATAGTATAATATTAGATATTAAATAATAATAATATAATATATAAAATAATACTAAACCAACAAATATAAAATAATGGTATAATATTAAATAATAATATTATAATATAAGACTAAAATAATGCTAAAAAAGTAAGCAGGAAATAATAATTTCACTTTTACTAAGAATAGAATACCAAATATAAACACAATGCTAAAATAGTAAATATGCAATAATAATGCTAAATGCAAAAGAATGATACGAGGGTGATAGAATAGTAAATATAAAATAATAAAATACTAAAATAATAAATATAAAATAAATATAAATATAAAATAAAATACTACAGTAATAAATATAAAATAACATCCTAAAATAATAAATATAAAATAAATATAAATATAAAATAAAATACTGAAATATAAATATAAAATAAATATACATATAAGATAAAATCCTAAAATAATAAATATAAAATAAATATAAAATACTAAAATAAAATCCTAAAATAATAAATATAATATAAATATAAATATAATATAAAATCCTAAAATAATAAATATAAAATAAAATAAATATAAATAAATATAAATAAATAAAAATAAATATAAAATAATAAATAAATAATAATATAATAAATAAATATAATATAAAATCCTAAAATAATAAAAATAAATATAAATATAAAATAAAATACTGAAATATAAATATAAAATAAATATAAAATACTAAAATAAAATCCTAAAATAATAAATATAAAATAAATATAAAATACTAAAATAAAATCCTAAAATAATAAATATAATATAAATATAAATATAATATAAAATCCTAAAATAATAAATATAAAATAAAAATATATATAATAAAATACAAAAATAATAAAGATATAAAATAATACCTATAATAATCTCTATAATAATCATAGAATAATATGAATATAAAATAATAATAATAGTAATGATAGTGATAGTGATGATGATGATGATGGGGAGTGCAATACCGCGAGACCTGTGGGTCCTGCCGGATGAGGAGGAGGATCTGCTCGGTGTTGAGGAAGACGGCCCAGCACGGGAAGCAGACCAGGAGCAGGATCAGGACCCCGCGCTGGAGGATGATGCCCACACGCTTCATGTTCTTCCCGCCGTAGGTCTGGAGGGGGACAAAAGGGTCGGGTGGCCTTCAAGGGGTTGGGTGGCCTTCACAGGCAGGGGCCACTCCACCTCGACCCCGCCTCCTTACCTGGGAGATGAGGGTGTCGCAAGCGGAGGACAAGCCGAAGCCCACCGAGACCCCCGTCACGTTGATCACCTGCCAAGGAGGAAAGAAGGAGGAAAGAACTAGGCATCCCGGGCCTTGGGGAACTAGGCGTCCCCAGAGAAAACGTCCTTGATGTCAACTCACAGCGATGGCCAGGGTGACGGAGGCCAGCTCCACTTTCCCCAAGTGGCCGCAGAAGATGGTGCTGACCACGTGGACCATGAAGACCAGCAGCTGGATCAGCGTCTGCAGGAAGAAGGAAAAGAAGGAGGAGGAATGGCTGCTCAATGGGAAGTCAGGCAAAGCAGAGTGGAGGGTGAGCCCTGGCACCCTATTAGTAATATGGAGGAGGAGGAGGAGAGGAAGGAGAAGCAGAAGAGGATGAAGGAGAAAGAGAAGGAAGAGGAGAGGAAGAAGAAGGAGAAGATGAAAAAGATGAAGGAGAAGAAGGAAAAGAGGAAGAAGAAAGAGAAGAGGAAGAAGATGAAGAGGATGAATGAGAAGAAGAAGGAGAAGAGGAAGAAGAAGAGTAAGGAGAAAAGGAAGAGGATGAATGCGAAGAAGAAAGGAAAAGAGGGAGAAGAGGGAGAAGGGAAAGGGGAAGAAAGGGAAGAGGATGAATGAGAAGAAGAAAGAGAAGAGTAAGAAGGAGAAGAGGAAGGAGAAGAGGATGAACAAGTAAAAGAAGGAGAAAAGAAAGAAGGAGGAGAGGAAGAAGAAGGAGAAGAAGAAGGGGATGAATGAGAACAAGAAGGAGAAAAGGAAGAGGGAGAAGAAGGGGAAGAGGAAAGAGAAGAGGAAGAGACTGAAGAAGGAGAAGATGAAGGGGATGAATGAGAAGGAGCAGAATTAAAAGAGGAAGAATGAGAAGAAGAAGGAAAAGGAAAAGAGAAGAAGAGGGGGAAGAGGAGGAAAGAAGAAGGAAAAGAAGAAGAGGAAGAAGAGGAAGAAGAAGCAGTTGAATGAGAAGAAGGAGAAAAGGAAGAGGGAGAAGAAGGAGAAGAGGAAAGAGAAGAGAAAGAGGTTGAAGAATGAGAAGATGAAGGAGATGAACGAGAAGAAGGAGAAGAATTAAAAGAGGAAGGATAATATTATGAACAATTAGAAGGAGAATAGAAAGAAGGAGAAGAGGGATGAGAGGATGATGATGGGGATGAACAAGGAAAAGTGGAAGAAGAGGGAGAGGGAGAGGATGAACGAGAAGAAGGAGAAAATGAAGAGGGGGACAAAGAGGATGAAGAAGGAGAAGAAAGAGTGGAAAAGAAGGAGAACAATCAGAGGGAGAAAAAGAGGAAGGGGAAGGAGAAGAAAGGATGAAGGATAAGGAGAAAGAGAAGAGGAAGAAGTGGAGAAGGAGGAAGAAAAGGATGAAGAAAGAGAAGAGGAAGGAGAAGATGAAAGGGATGAATGAGAAGAAGAGGGAGAAGAAGGGGAAGAGGAAGAACATGAAGAGATTGAATGAGAAGAAGGTGAAGAGGAAGGAGAAGAGGAAGAGGATGAATGTGAAGAAGGAAAAGAGGAAGAAGAGGGAGAAGAAGGGGAAGAGGAAAAAGATGGAGAGGATGAATAAAGGAGAAGAGGATGAACCAGTAGAAGAAGGAGAAGGAGAGGGAGAAGAAGAAGAAGAAGAAGAAGAAGAAGGGAGAAGAAGGGAAAAATGAAAAGGATGAACAAGAAGAAGGAGAGAAGAAAAGAGGAGGAGGAGAGGATGCATGATTAGAAGAAGGAGGAGAGAAGAAAGAAGAGAAGGAAAAGAGGAAGAGAGAAAAGAACAAAGATGAGGATGACCAAGAAGGAGAAAAGGAAGAAGGAGAAGAGCAAGAAGAAGGAGAAGAGGAAGGGGGAGGAGAAGAAGAAAAGATGTAGAATAAGGAGAAAGGGAAGAGAAATAAGAAGAAGAAGAAGGGGAAAGGGAGAAGGAAGAAAAGGACGAAGAAGGAGAAAAAAGAGAATAGGATGAATAAGACAAAAGTGGAGGATGGAAACAAGATGAGGGAATTAGTGCTTTTCTTCCATGTAGATGCCCCCTCCTTCCTCCTAGCCTGAAAGTCATGCAAAGCAGAGCAGAGGGTGAGTCCTGGCACCCGAATAATACTAATAATAATAATAATAATAATAATAATAATAATAATAATAATGGTACCAGGGGGTTGTTGCTTCTGTGCTGCTTAGAGAAGTGGGTGAGTAGTGAGCAGACCATTGCATGGAATGGCCTGTCTCCTGGGCAGATGGTACCAGGGGGTTGTTGCTTCTGTGCTGCTTAGAGAAGTGGGTGAGTAGTGAGCAGACCATTGCATGGAATGGCCTGTCTCCTGGGCAGAAGGCGATGCAAAGCAGAGTGGAGGGTGAGCCCTGGCTCCTGGGACTCTTGTCAAGCGGACTCACCAGCGGGGCGGCCAGGACCAGGATCTTCTTGGCTTCTCCCCAGAAGTTGGGGGGCAGCAGGCGGCAGCGTCGGGGCTTCTGGCCCTCCTTGACCACAGTGGACGCAGCATCCTCCATCCTGAGGGGGGTCCTGGGCTAAGGGGGGGGGGAACAACAACAACAACAACAACAACAGTAGTAGTAGTAGTAGTAATGGGGGTGAGGAGGAGGAGGAGGAGGAGGAAGGGGATGAGGGTTGTGCCTGGCCGGGCCTCTCTCTGCCTCTGGCCTTCCTGGCTGTGGTCACTCGGGGGTTTTGTCCAAAGGGCGAGGAGGGGTCGGCCCCGTCCAGAAGCAACAGAGCGTCCTCCTCCTCCTCGTCTCCCTGCTGGGCAGTGGGCCAAGCCACGCCAGGCAAAGGTCAAGCGCTGGCTCCGTCCTCCTCTGGCCTCCCTCGCTTTGCCAACCGGACAGAAGAAGGCAAACGCCCCACAAGGAGCAGAAAAGGGGCCCCAGGCTCACTTTGGGGGCCACAAACACCACACACCAAGGCGCTAGTCCTCAGCACAGGGAGGGCCAGGAAGGCTGCTCGCCGTAGTGTCCCAACTATGGGAATGCTGGGAATCATAGTTTCCTGAGAGACAGGTGGAACCGGGAATTGTAATTTCATGAGAGACAGGTAGAGTGTCCCAACCACACAAGGCTGGGAATCGTAGTTTCACAAGAGACCGGTAGAGTGTCCCAACTATAGACGGCTGGGAATTGTAGTTACACAAGAGATAGGTAGTGTCTCAACCACACAAGGCTGGGAATTGTAGTTTTATGAGAGATGAGTAGAGTGTCCCAATCACGCAAGGCTGGGAATCGTAGTTTCACAAGAGTCAGGTAGAGTGTCCCAACTACAGAAGGCTGGGAATCATAGTTTCACAAGAAGTGGAGTGTCCCAACTACGCAAAAGCTGGGAATCATAGTTTCTTGAGGGACGGGGGGAGTATCCCAACGATGGAAGACTGGGAATTGTAATTTCATGGCAGGTGGAGTCTCCCAATGATGGAAGGTTGGAAGTTGTAGTTTCATGACAGAGGGGTAGGGTGTCCCGACTATAGAAGATCAGGAGTTGTAGTTTCAAGAGAGACAGGTAGAGTGTCCCAGCCACGCAAGGCTGGGAATCGTAGTTTTATGAGAGACAAGTAGAGTGTCCCAACTACAGAAGGCTGGGAATTGTAGTTTCACAAGAGACAGGTAAAGTGTCCCAACTACAGACGGCTGGGAATTGTAGTTACACAAGAGACAGGTAGTGTCCCAACCACACAAGGCTGGGAATTGAAGTTTTATGAGAGACGGGTAGAGTGTCCCAACCATGCAAGGCTGGGAATCATAGTTTCGCAAGAAGTGGAGTGTCCCAACTACGGAAAAGCTGGGAATCATAGTTTCTTGAGGGACAGGTGGAGTATCCCAACAATGGAAGACTGGGAATTGTAATTTCATGGTGGGAGAGTCTCCCAACGATGGAAGGCTGGAAGTTGTAGTTTCACGAGAGAGGGGTAGAGTGTCCTGACTATAGAAGACTATAGTTGTAGGTTCAAAAAAACAGGTAGAGTTGTAGCTTAATGAGAGATAGGTAGAGTGTCCTAACTCTAGAAAGCGGGGATTTGTAGTTTGATGAGGAACAACCAGTGTCGCAACTATAGATGTCCTAACTATGGAAGTCTGGGAGTTGTAGTTTCGTTAAAGAGAGAGAGAGAGGTGGAGTGTCCCAACTGTAGAGTCGTAGTTTAATGAGCGATAGAAAGCTGGGTTTTGTAGTTTGATGAGGGACAAGCAGTGTCCCAACCATGGAAGACTGGAAATTGTAGTTTAATGAGAGACATATACTGGTCAAAGGGTTCAATAGGAGGCATTTAACGTGGCGTTCAACGGGTGCCATTTGATGCCACTGGAACAGCCATGGCTCAATGCTAGGAATCCCAGGGAGTTGTAGTTTGCAAAGTCTTGGTCCGAATGCACCTCGCCAGGCTCCAAATCCCAGGGCTCGTGTCTCGATGCACCCAATGGATTAATGACTGAGCCAAAGCGAGGGGAATATTTCACCACATCAATGCCTTTGTTGGTCATTTGAAGGTTATGTAACCCGCCCTCGGACATCACTGGACGTCGGGCTTTCTTAATGTTTAGCCTTCTGGCCTTGACCATTGACCCGGACAACAAGCCTTCGCCATTTCTCCTGCAACACCCAGAAGAGTTCCTAGATAGGTAGATAGATATAGATGTATTTTAATATGTAGGGATATTGGATAATAATACTTATAAGTATAAAATATAAATATAATATAAATATAAATAATACACATAAAAGAAAAACATAAAAATATACACATTATATAAAATTATATATCAAATAAAACAATAATAGACGAATATAATAATATAATATAAATTATATATATAATAAAGAGTGTAAAATAAAATAATGTAAAATTATATATAAAACAATAGAGTACACTAATAAGAATAAAATAAAATAAAATATATAAAATAAAGCAATATACTGTAAAATAAAAATAATATAAAATTGTATATAAAATAATAGAATACCATAATGATAGTAATCGAATAATATAATATAAATAAAACATATAAAATAAAACAATATAATATAAAATTAAAATTACATATAAATTACATATAAATTAATAGATTACTAGAAGTGACTGGATTGACCTTGAGGGAGCTGGGGGTGGCGATGGCCGACAGGGAGCTCTGGCGTGGGCTGGTCCATGAAGTCACGAAGAGTCGGAAAAAGGAAGAGGGGCCGACCAGGGGCAAGGCGGGTGGATGGCATTCTTGACGTGACTGGATTGACCTTGAGGGAGCTGGGGGTGGTGACGGCCGACAGGGAGCTCTGGCGTGGGCTGGTCCATGAAGTCACGAAGAGTCGGAAAAAGGAAGAGGGGCCGACCAGGGGCAAGGCGGGAGGATGGAATCCTTGATGTGACTGGATTGACCTTGTAGGAGCTGGGGGTGGTGACAGTCGACAGGGAGCTCTGGCCTGGGCTGGTCCATGAGGTCAGGAAGAGTCGGAAAAAGGAAGAGGGGCCGACCAGGGGCAAGGCGGGTGGATGGAATCCTTGAAGTGACTGGATTGACCTTGTAGGAGCTGGGTGTGGTGACGGTCGACATGGAGCTCTGGTGTGGGCTGGTCCATGAGGTCAGGAAGAGTCGGAAAAAGGAAGAGGGGCCGACCAGGGGCAAGGCGGGTGGATGGCATCCTTGAAGTGACTAGATTGACCATGAAGGAGCTGGGGGTGGTGACGGCCGACATGGAGCTCTGGTGTGGGCTGGTCCATGAGGTCAGGAAGAGTCGGAAAAAGGAAGAGGGGCCGACTAGGGGCAAGGCGGGTGGATGGAATCCTTGAAGTGACTGGATTGACCTTGTAGGAGCTGGGTGTGGTGACGGTCGACATGGAGCTCTGGTGTGGGCTGGTCCATGAGGTCAGGAAGAGTCGGAAAAAGGAAGAGGGGCCGACCAGGGGCAAGACGGGTGGATGGCATCCTTGAAGTGACTAGATTGACCATGAAGGAGCTGGGGGTGGTGACGGCCAACAGGGAGCTCTTGAGTGGGCTGGTCCATGAGGTCATGAAGAGACGGAAAAAGGAAGAGGGGCCGACAAGGGGCAAGGCGCGTGGATGGTTTCCTTGACGTGACTGGATTGACCATGAAGGAGTTGGGGGTGGTGACGGCCGACAGGGAGCTCTGGTGTGGGCTGGTCCATGAGGTCAGGAAGAGTCGGAAAAAGGAAGAGGGGCCGACCAGGGGCAAGGCGGGTGGATGGCATCCTTGAAGTGACTAGATTGACCATGAAGGAGCTGGGGGTGGTGACGGCCAACAGGGAGCTGTGGGCTGGTCCATGAGGTCAGGAAGAGTCGGAAAAAGGAAGAGGGGCCGACAAGGGGCAAGGCGCGTGGATGGCATCCTTGACGTGACTGGATTGACCATGAAGGAGCTGGGGGTGGTGACGGCCAACAGGGAGCTCTGGAGTGGGCTGGTCCATGAGGTCATGAAGAGTCGGGCACTCGTTTTTAAATGTATTTGTAGTTAGTGTGTTATGTAAGTCATATCGATGTTAGGATGTGTTGAAGTTTATAGATTATTGTGTACACTCATGTGTGTTGTGATCATGTTATTGTCATATCTCTTGTGTATGTCTGTCCTCTTTTTACTATTGTAATATTAAAATTCAATAAAATAAAAATAAAAATATAGAAATAATATAATATATAAATAATAATATAAAATAATAATAACAATACAATATAATACTACACACACATAATAAAATATAGAAAAAGATATAAGAAAAATAAAATGAAATGTATGATTGTGATATAATAATGATGTATACTATAATAATAATAATAATAATAATAATAATAATAATAATAATGTGTTTTTTTCTCCACTTCTATCTCCTTCCGCATATATTGGCCTTGGCTTAAGCTGCATCGTGATCTATGTCAATGCGCAAGCGGCGACTAATCTGGACGCGTTAATCAACAGCTCAGGAAGGAAGGAAGGAAGGAATGAAGGGCAAAGGTTTGCCCTGACTCACAGCATTGCACCAGAATACCAGGACCAGTGCGTCTACACGGTGGAATTAATGCAGATTGACGCCACTTTGGGGTCTCTGTGCAATGGCACGGCCTGCTCCGTGTTTTTGCTGGAGAAGCTTCCCCACTTGTGAGAGGCCTTTGGGCGCCGTCTCTCTCCAAATATGTTTTTTGGAAGGACGGAGACGCCGTTCCTTGTCGAACAAATAAATGAAATATTGCATTCATCAAGCCAAGGTCCATAATATAAAGATATATTCCGAGGGAGAAACACTGGATTCTCTCCCAAATTAACAATATCACACTTGTTCTTTTATTATTAAATAATATTGCCAAATGCATACAATCATTAAAGCATAACAAAGTTGCAAAGTCAATCAGGGAGGGCTTTGCAGCTTCAAAGTCAATCAGGAAGGGACTCTGCATAGAGGCGGCCTGGCCTTTGTGGCCTGGAGGCGTCCTCTGTGGAATCATGTCTGTTGGAGGCAAGAGGGAATGTTGCCATTGGCCAGCTGGGTTAGCATCGAATGGCCTTGCAGCTTCAAAGTCAATCAGGGAGGGAATCTGCATAGGGGTAGCCTGGCCTTTGTGGCCTGGAGGCGTCCTCTGTGGAATCATGTCCAGGGTGGGAGGAAGAAAGGGCTCTTGTCTGATGGAGGGAGGTGTGAATGGCAACCTTGATCAGCATTGAATAGCCTTGCAGCTTCAAAGCCTGACTGATTCCTTCCTGGGGACATGTTAGCTGATTGTTTCCTGCCTGGAACCCCCCAGTTTTGTTGGGAGGTGGGAGAAAGAAAGGATTCTTGTCTGATGGAGGGAGGTGTGAATGTTGACATTGGCCAACCTTGATCAGCACTGAATGGCCTTGCAGCTTCAAAGCCTGGCTGCTTCCAGACTGAGGGAATCCTTTGTTGGGAGGTGGGAGGAAGAAAGACAAGTGTGAATGTTGACATTGGCCAACCTTGCAAGGCCATTGAATCACAATATATATAAGTACTGTAAATAAAGAAATAAATAGAGAAATAAAGAAATAAAGAAATAAATAAATAGATAAATAAAGAAATAGAGAAATAAATAAATAGAGAAATAAATAAATAAATAGAGAAATAAATAAATAAATAGAGAAATAAATAAATAGATAAATAAATAGATAAATAGATAGATAGATAAATAAATAGAGAAATAAATAAATAGAGAAATAAATAGATAAATAGATAGAGAAATAAATAAATAGAGAAATAAATAAATAGAGAAATAAATAAATAGAGAAATAAATAAATAGATAAATAAATAAATAGATAGATAGAAATAGAGAAATAAATAGAGAAATAAATAGATAAATATAGAAATGGATAAATAAATAGATAAATAAATAAATAGATAAATAGATAGATAAATAAATAGATAGATAAATAAATAGATAGATAGATAGATAGATAAATAAATTGAGAAATAAATAAATAGATAAATAAATAAATAGATAAATAGATAGATAAATAAATAAATAGATAAATAAATCGTCGTTCACTCGCTCAGTCGTCTCCGACTCTTCGTGACCTCATGGACCAGCCCACGCCAGAGCTCCCTGTCGGCCGTCACCACCCCCAGCTCCTCAAGGTCAGTCCAGTCACTTCCAGGATGCCATCCATCCATCTTGCCCTTGGTCGGCCCCTCTTCCTTTTGCCTTCCACTTTCCCCAGCATAATTGTCTTCTCTAGGCTTTCCTGTCTCCTCATGATGTGGCCAAAGTACTTCAACTTTGTCTCTAGTATCTTTCTCCTCCAGTGAGCAGTCGGGCTTTAAGATAAATAAATAGATAGAGAAATAAATAAATAAATAAATAAATAGAGAAATAAATAAATAGATAAATAAATAGATAAATAAATAGATAGATAAATAAATAAATAGATAAATAGATAAATAAATAAATAAATAGATAGATAAATAAATAGAGAAATAAATAAATAAATAGAGAAATAAATAAATAGATAAATAAATAAATAGATAATTAAATAGACAGATAAATAAATAAATAGATAAATAGATAAATAAATAAATAAATAGATAGATAAATAAATAGAGAAATAAATAAATAAATAGAGAAATAAAGATAGATAAATAAATAAATAGAGAAATAAATAAATAGATAGATAGATAAATAGAGAAATAAATAGATAGATAAATAAATAGAGAAATAGATAGAGAGACCTCCCCCCAATTTGTAAACAGCAGAGAGTGTGAGGGAGGCCTCCAGTAGCCCCCCCTTGGGGGAGTGGGCGTGTCTGCTTTCACCACCGTCCCCGCCCCTTTCTACGTCACGGCCAATGGGAGCGGGGATTCCCTTGTGGCCCCGCCCCCGGAGCCTTTTGGCGCGCCCGAGCACGTGGCCGGGTCCCATTGGGGCGGGCGGCCGTCCGTTGAGGGATGGAGCAGGCCGGCGGAGGGGAGCATGCCGAGGTCCCGGGAAGAGGAGGACGAGGAGGCCCGCAGCGAGGAGGAGTGGGGGCGGCGGTGGTGCTGGTGGTGGAGGAGGGCCCGTGGGGGGATGCCCCTGGGGGCTCTGGAGGGAGACCCCTGAGCTGCTCAAGATCGGAGGACCCGTGGTAAGCAGGCAGGCTGGAGAGAGAGAGAGAGAGAGGGGGGGGGGCATGGAGGACAGGCCTGGCCTTGTTGTGAGCCCAAGGATCAGGGCCCTTGTTGGCCCAGCACACAGCCAGCCCATGCCTCCAGGAGATAGATAAAGTTACTATTTATGTATTTTATTATTTTATTATGGTTTCCTATATTATTTTATTATTTATTATATTATATTTAATAATAATATATTTATTATTACTATTCAATTATTATAGTAGTATAATATTATTACTATATTTACATTTATTATAATATTTCTTTCATTGTTTCTTATTACATTATCATATTTACTATTATTATTATTCCAGCCCAAAGATCAGGGCCCTTGATGGCCCAGCACACAGCCAGCCCATGCCTCCAGGAAATCTCCCTCAAGGAGAGAATGGGCGGGTCAGGAATGCAGCTTTATTATTATTATTATTATTATTATTATTATTATTATTATTATTTTATGATTATTATTTTATATTATTATTATTATTTTATTATTATTATATTGATATTATTACATTTATTATTATTATTATTATTATTATATTGCTACCATATTTATTGTATTATTTCATATTTATTTTATTGTTTCTTATATTATTATTATTATTTCATATTACATTATTATATTTATTATCATGACAATGAAATGACTTGTTATAGTAGTATATTATTATTGTTTACATTTATTATAATATTTATTATTATTTACTTCATTATTTCAATATTTATTATTTATTATATGATTTTATTATTTTATATTATTATTATTGTTGTTGTTGTTATTATTATTATTGATATTACTACATTTATTTATTATTATTATAATTATATTGCTACCATATTTATTGTATTATTTCATATTTATTTTATTGTTTCTTATTATATTATTATTTCATATTATTTCATATTATATTATTATATTTAATATCATTACTATTAGATTACTTATTATAGTAGTACATTATTATTGTTTACATTTATTATAATATTTATTATGATTTACTTCATTATTTCAATATTATATGATTTTATTATGAGATTTATACTCTTAATTTATTATTATTAAATTATTATTAATTATTTTAGTATTTTATAATATAAAATTATGTTAGTATTTTATATTAGTATTATTATTAATATTATTTCAGTATATTACTATTGTTTCTTATATTATTTTTTGTTATATTTATTACATATATTATTTATTGTAGTATTTTATTATATTATACTTATATTCTTAAATTATTATTATTATTTATTATATTATTAATTATTTATGTTATTCTTTTATATTATTATTATTTATTATATTTTAGTATATTACTATTATTTCTTACTTTATTATGTATATATTTATTTTATTGTTTCTTATATGTTTCTTATGTATGTTATTTATTATTATTTATTATAGTACTATATTTTACTTATATTCTTAATTTCTTATTTATATTATTACATTTATTATATTGTTAATTATTTATATTATTATTTTATATTATTATTATTTATATTATTTTAGTATATTACTATTTTTTCTTATCTTATGTCTCCTTTTATTATTATATTTATTTTGTTATTGTTTCTTATATTATTTCTTATATTATATTTATTATATATATGATTTTCATAATATTTTATTATGTTATACTTATATTCTTAATTTATTACTAATAATAATTAATAATTATCAAAATTATTATTAATTAATAATTATTAAAATTATTATTAATAATAATAATTATAATTATTATTAATTTTAATCAGCTACCAAGCTTGCAAACTTAGTGTTTTGTCTGTTTGTTTGTTTTGTTAAAAATGTAATACAAATGTCTGGTTGCTTCTGACACGATAAATAAATACATTTATTATTATTATTATTATTATTATTATTTATATTATTTTAAAATAATTTATTATATTGTTAATTATTTATGCTATTATTTTATAATATTATTATTATTGATGCCATTTTTGTTATATTGGTATTATTTCTTATATCATTTATTTTTATTATATGTATTATTTATTATTATGTTCATGCAGCTTCTCCTATTAAGGCTGTGGAACTTGAAGTGGCGTCAAAGTGCATTCGTTCCACAGTGCAGACGCATTGTTTCTCGGCCTGAAATGGGAGACATAGTTCTGTCCTTTATCTTCCCTTTTTTTTTATGGAAGCACCTGACGCCTGAGGAGATAACAATGGAGGGTCATAAGACTTTTTTGTGCCCTGAGTTCAAGCCCCGTGATTGCTATATATATATACACACATACATGCACGTATACAGATATACATATACACACATGATTTGGAGTTAGGGACTCTGATTATTATTATTATCAGCAGTATTATTAAGTTATTATTATTTATTGGTATTAAATGGTTAGTATTAAATTACCATGTATTATTATTATATTATTATTTTAATGATGGCCAAGTCATTGTTTATTATTCAATTATTGTTTTCTCCCAGTGGGTGACCTCCTCTCCTATCTCGGGACCAGGTCCCCCCCCCAACCCTTTCCCCATCACATGAGGACCTAAGACCCCCCCCCCCCACCTGTGGCTCCGTCCCTCCTCCTCCTCCTCCTCCTCCCCCCTCTCCCCGGGGCGGCAGGGCGCTCCCCTTTTTTACGGGAAGCGGTTGCACAAGCGGGCCTTGTTCCGACTCGCCTTGGATTTTGGCCCCTGAGAAGCGCAAGCACACACCCACGGCCACGAGGGTTGGGTTCCAAGACACACAAAGGAAAGAACCAAGACACACACAGAGCCACCTCCCTTCCCCCTCTCTCTCTATTTATTTTTAATTTCTCTCTCTTATTGATCTATCTATCTGTCTATCTATGTCATTTCTCTAATTGGTCTATCACCTATCCATCGATAGATCAATCAATCAATCAACTGATCCATCTACTTATCTATCAGCTATCCTATCTATCTATCTATCTATCTATCTATCTATCTATCTATCTATCTATCTATCTATCTATCTATCTACCAATCCATCTACTTATCTATCATATTCTATCTATCTATCTATCTATCTATCTATCTATCTACCAATCCATCTACTTATCTATCAGCTATCCTGTCTATCTATCAATCGATCTATTGATCTATCTATATCTGTCTGTCTGTCTATCTATGTAATTTCTCTAATTGGTCTATCACCTATCAATCGATAGATCAATCAATCAACTAATCCATAGACAGCTATCCTGTCTGTCTGTCTGTCTGTCTATCTATCTATCTATCTATCTATCTATCTATCTATCTATCTATCTATGTCATTTCTCTAATTGGTCTATCACCTATCGATCGATAGATCGATCAATCAACTGATCCATCTACTTATCTATCAGCTATCCTGTCTGTCTGTCTGTGTGTCTATCTATCTACCTACCAATCCATCTATCTACTTATCTATCAGCTATCCTGTCTGTCTGTCTGTCTGTATCTACCTACCAATCAATCTATCTACTTATCTATCAGCTATCCTGTTTATCTATCTATCTATCTCTATCTATCTATCTATCTATCTATCTATCTATATTCTATCTATCTATCTATCTATCTATCTATCGTATCTATCTATCTATCTATCTATCTATCTATCTATCGTATCTATCTATCAACTGATCCATCTACTTATCTATCAGCTATCCTGTCTGTCTGTCTGTCTGTCTATCTACCTACCAATCCATCTATCTACTTATCTATCAGCTATCCTGTTTATCTATCTATCTCTATCTATCTATCTATCTATCTATCTATCTATCTATCTATCTATGTCATTTCTCTAATTGGTCTATCGCCTATCGATCGATAGATCGATCAATCAACTGATCCATCTACTTATCTATCAGCTATCCTGTCTATCAATCTATCTATATCTATCTATCTATGTCATTTCTCTAATTGGTTTATCACCTATCAATCGATAGATCAATCAATCAACTAATCCATAGACAAGCTATCCTGTCTATATCTATCTATCTATCTATCTATCTATCTATCTATCTATCTATCTATCTATGTCATTTCTCTAATTGGTCTATCACCTATTGATTGATAAATCAATCAATCAACTGATCCATCTACTTATCTATCAGCTATCCTGTCTGTCTGTCTATCTATCTATCTATCTACTTATCTATCAGCGATCCTATCTATCGATTGATCAATCAATCTATGTCATTTCTCTAATTGGTCTATCACCTATCGATAGATAGATCAATCAACTGAGCCATCTACTTATCTATCAGCTATCCTGTCTGTCTGTCTGTCTGTCTATCTATCTATCTATCTATCTATCTATCTATCTCATCTATTTAGGCATGGGCAATCCATGGTTCAAATGGTTCTAAAGTACTTACAAAACTAAAGTTCTGGTGGTGAAAATTTCAGAACTCTAACAAAACTCTCAAAATTTCATTATAAATGGCAGTTCCTAATTGGTTCTGTCATAAAAATCGCCAATAATGAAATAATATTGAAATTTTGAGAGTTTTGTTAGAGTTCTGAAATTTTCACCACCAAAACTTTTGTTTTGTAAGTGCTTTAGAAGCACTAGGTTCTTGTGGGTTTTTTCGGGCTATAGAGCCATGTTCTAGAGGCATTCTCTCCTGACGTTTCGCCTGCATCTATGGCAAGCATCCCCACGACCTCTGAGGATGCTTGCCATAGATGCAGGCGAAACGTCAGGAGAGAATGCTTCTAGAACATGGCTCTATAGCCCGAAAAAACCCACAAGAACCTAGTGGTTCCAGCCATGAAAGCCTTCCACAATACTTTAGTGCCATTTAGAACCATACATTGCCCAGGCCTACTTTCTATCTTATCTATCTATCAACCAATCCATCTATCTACTTACCTCTCTATCAGCTATCCTATCTATTGATTGATCAATCAATCTATGTCATTTGTCTAATTGGTCCATCACCTACCGATAGATAGATCAATCAATCAGCTGAGCCATCTAGTTACCTATCAGTTATCCTCTCTGTCTGTCTATCTATTAGGCCTGGTTCTAAATGGTTCTAAAGTACTTACAAAATGAAAGTTCGAGTGGTGAAAATTTCAGAACTCTAACAAAACTTTCAAAATTTAATTATTATTTTGTTATTGGTGATTTCTATAACACAACCCATTAGGAACTGCCATTTATAATGAAATTAAGAGAGAAATTAAGTACAAGAACACACCTGCTGCCATGAGGGTTGGGTTCCAAGAGACACAGAGGGAAGAACAGAGGAAAGCAACCAAGACACACACAGCCATCTCACTCTCTTCCATCTCTGTATATCATTTCTGTCTCTTATTGATCTATCACCTATCTATCATCTGTTTCTCTTGCAATCTATCAATCTATCTATGTCATTTCTCTCATGGGTGAGGTTAATACCTGGGGCGGCGTACAGGGAGCACACAACTCCCATGTGACGCCTGGCCCAAATTACCTGTCCAAACACATCTCCCCTTATGAACCATCGCGGAGATTAAGATCCTCCGGGGAGGCCCTGCTCTCCGTTCTGCCATTGTCACAGGCACGAGAGACAGGGCCTTCTTGGTGATTGCTCCCTGGCTGTGGAACTCCCTTCCTGGTGGGATCAGGTCGGCCCCCTCCCTCCTGTCCTTCAACACTTGGCTGTCCCAAGCTTTTGGGACAGGGCAAGAAAGTGGCAATAGGAAAGATGACCAGGCCAATTAGATTGGACGTGGGTGACTAGGACAGTTTTAAATGATGTATTTTAATACTGAGATCAATGTTTTCCATGTTTATGTATGTGTATGTGAATCTGTGTCCCGGCATTGAATGTTTGCCGTGTATATGCTGTGCTCTGCCCTGAGTCCCCTGAGTCGGGGTGAGAAGAAGGGCGGAATATCCATGTTTTAAATAAATAAATAAATAAATAGATCAATCAATCAATCAATTGATCCATCATCTGGGAAGAACACAGGGAAGGAACCAAGACAGACAGAGCCACCTCCCTTCCCTCTCTCTTTCTATTTATCTTTAATTTCTCTCTCTTATTGATCTATCACCTATCTATCTTACAATCTATCTATCTATCTATGTCATTTCTCTAAATGGTCTATCACCTATCGATAAATCAATCAACTGAGCCATCTATGTATCTATCAGCTTATCTATCTATCAGCTTATCTATCTATCTATCTATCTATCTATCTATCTATCTATCTATCTATCTATCTATCTATTCATCCATCTCTCCATCTATCCTATCTTTATCTATCTATCTATCTATCTATCTATCTATCTATCTATCTATCTATCTATCTATCTATCTATGTCATTTCTCTAATTGGTCTATCGCCTATCGATCGATAGATCGATCAATCAACTGATCCATCTACTTATCTATCAGCTATCCTGTCTTATCTATCTATCTATTGACCAATCCATTTATCTATTTATCTATCAGCTATTCTACCTATCTATCTATGCATCATTTCTCTCTCTCTAATTGGTCTGTCACCTATCCATCCATCTATCTATCTTCCTATCTGTCTATCTATCAATCAATCAACCAACCAATTGACCAATAGACAGATCTAGCTTTCTGTCCTCTCAGATTAGTAGATAGGCAGATTGACAGATAGATAAATGGATGTATAGGTGATAGACCAATTAATCTATCTGTCAATCTTCCTATCTACTCATCTATCTATCCTATCTATCAACCATCTATCTATCTATCTATCTATCTATCTATCTATCTATCTATAATTTCTCTCTCTAATTGGTCTATCAACCATCTATCCATCTTCCTATCTATCGATCAATCAACTGATTGACCAATCTCTCTCTGTCCTCTCTTTAATTGGTCTGTCACCTATTCGTCCATCTATCTATCTGTCTATCTATTTATCTATTTCTCTCTCTAATTGGTCTATCACCTATCAATCCATCTATCTATCTGTCAATTTTCCTATCTACTCATCTATCTATCCTATCTATCTATCTATCTATCTATCTATCTATCTATCTATCTATCTATATATTGTAGATATATTATCTATCTATCTATCATCCATTCATCCATCTATCTATCTTCCTATCAATTGATCGATCAGCCAATCTATCTATCTGTCCTTTCTCTAAGTGGTCTATCGTCTGTCTGTCTGTCAGTCTTTCTATCTACCCACCTATCGATTAGAGCTGTCTCTCTCTGACGTGTCTTCTCCCTTCCCAGTTTGTGGCGCAGCTGCTGGGCTTCCTGATCAACGTGGTCAGCTCCATCTTCTGCGGCCATTTGGGCAAAGCCGAGCTGGACGCCGTCACCCTCGCTGTCTCGGTAGGACTCTCTCCGTGCGCGGAAGAACCCCACAGGGCATCCCGGACAGCACAATCAAAGCCCTCCCCACTGACGGCCATCCAGCCAGAGATGTAACAGATACACTACATTCTATGATAGAGCTATATCTTTCTATAGAATCCTAGAGTCGGAGGAGACCCTAACGAGAGGGCATCTAGTCCAGCCTCCTGGATCCAGTTAGGAAGAGCTCAATCAGAGGGCCATCCTGCTAGTAGTAGTAGTAGTAGTAGTAGTAGTAGTAGTAATAATAATAGAAATCTAGAGTTGGAAGAGAAGCGCAAAGAGAACGTGCTGGTCCAACCTCTTCCTGCCACTAAGTAAGACACAACCTGATCTCTCCTGACAGAGGGCCATCCAGTTCTGCTAATAATACTAATAGAGTTGGAGGAGACGCCCAAAGGGCATCTAGATATTGCTAATATGCTCGGCCCTTGGGAAGAGCCCAGACACTTGTGCATGTGTGCTGTGTTGTTATGCTCATGGAAATAAAATAATAATGTCCATATAATAATAATAATAATAATAATAATAATAATAATAATAATATACATCTCTGTTCTCCCAGGCCTGGTATTCAGAGACAAACCCCAGTCTCTTGGGCCTAATGTGCATGTGTGCTGTGTTGTTATGCACATGTATATAAAATAATAATATAATAATTATAATTAGAATATTATATAAGAATATAATATTAATTATAAATTATTATATTATAATTATAGTATTATATAATAAGAATAATATATTATTATTATATTATAATTATAGTATTATATATAATAATATTAATAATAATAGTATAATAATACATCTGTAATACACTAGGCCCTTGGGAAGAACCCGGTATTCAGAGACGAACCCAACACTTGGACCTAATCTGCATGTGTGATGTGTTGTTATGCACATGTAAATAAAATAATAATGTAATAATTATATTATAATTAGAATATTATATAATAATATAATATTAATTATTATAATGTAATATAATATAATATTAATTATTATATAATAATATATAATAATATAATATTAATTATTATTATATTATAATTATAGTATATAATAATAATAATAATAATAATAATAATAATAATAATAGTATAATAATACATCTGGAATACGCTAGGCCCTTGGGAAGAGCCTGATATTCAGAGACGAACCCCAGACAATTGGACCTCATGTGCATGGGTGCTGTGTTATTATGCACATGTATATAAAATAATATAATATAATGATAATTATAATATTATATAATAATATAATATTTATTATAATAATAATATTATAATTAGAATATTATATATTATTATAATATTATAATTAGAATATTGTATAATAATATAATTTTTTATTATTATTATAGTATTATATAAATAATAATAATAATAATAATAATAATAGTATAATAATACATCTGTTATACGCTAGGCCCTTGGGAAGAGCCAGATATTCAGAGACGAACCCCAGACACTTGGACCTCATGTGCATGGGTGCTGTGTTGTTGTGCCCATGTAAATAAAATAATAATGTAATAATTATAATTAGAATATTATATAATAATATAATATTAATTATAATTATAATTATATAATAATTATAATATATAATAATATAATATTATAATTATATAATAATTATAATATATAATAATATAATATTAATTATAATTATATATAATAATATAATTTTAATTAGTATTATATTATAATTATAGTATATAATAATAATAAATCTGTTATACGCTAGGCCCTTGGGAAGAGCCCGATATTCAGAGACGAACCCCAGACACTTGGACCTCATGTGCATGGGTGCTGTGTTGTGCACATGTAAATAAAATAATAACATCCATATAATAATAATAATAATAATAATAATAATAATAATAATAATAATAATACATCTCTAATCTCCAAGGCCCAATATTCAGAGACGAACCCCAGACACTTGGACCTCATGTGCATGTTTGTTGTGTTGTTGTGCACATGTAAATAAAATAATAACATCCATATAATAATAATAATAATAATACATCTCTAATCTCCGAGGCCCAATATTCAGAGACAAACCCCAGACACTTGGACCTCATGTGCATGTTTGTTGTGTTGTTGTGCACATGTAAATAAAATAATATCCATATAATATATAATAATAATAAAAATTATATATATCTAATAATAGAGTTGGAAGAGAAGTCTGTAGGGGGCCCTCCAGTCCAACCACCTTCTGCCACAAAGGGGGGCACCACCCGATCCCTCCCGACAGATGTCCACCTGGCCTAGCTTCCTCCCTGCGCGCAGCTTAACCTGCCCTCTCCCTCGCAGGTGATCAATGTCATCGGCATCTCCATCGGGACGGGCTTGGCCTCGGTGTGCGACACGCTCATGACCCAGACGTACGGGAGCCGCAACGTGAAGCGCGTGGGCACCATCCTGCAGCGGGGCATCCTGATCCTGCTCCTCTTCTGCTTCCCTTGCTGGGCCATCTTCCTCAACGCCGAGCGCATCCTCCTCCTCTGCCGGCAGGACCCCGAGGTCTCCCGGTGCGCCCCCCCCCCCCGACCGCCCTTCCACCCTTCCTTCCGGGACCCTCTCCTGGTCTTATCCGAGTTAGGAATAACGTTATATTCTTTCTCTCTCTCTCTCTCTTGCAGGTTAACCCAGGTTTATGTGATGATATTTATTCCTGCGCTCCCAGTAAGTCCTCTCTCTCACTTCTTTTGCTTTTTCTATTATTATTATTATTATTATTATTATTACCAAGTTTGCAAAATTTGTGTGTTTGTTTTAATCTGTCTGTTTGTTTTGTTCTGTTAGAAATGTAACACAATGGTCTGGTTGCTGATGACACGATAAATAAATAATAATAATAATAATAATAATAATAATAATTTTTATTATTATTTATTATGCTACCAGCTGGTTCCCACATCCTCTTAGTTATTGTGGGAACCAGTTAGGAATTATTTAGAAAATTTGCTAAGAGGTGGAGTAGAAAAATTAATTAGCACATTTTCTAAATAATTTCAAATATTGATATTTCAAATGTAACTTCTGTAGTTTGATGTATAAATTGCATGTACAAGGAGGGGAGGGTGGGAGTGGGAAAAAGTAATAAAACAATTAAAAAATATTATGATACCAGTTGCAGTCCAAAATTCTCCGGAAATTAAGACTCATTAGGGATCCCTAATAAATTAATCACTTTGGGTCTAAAGAGTGCTATACTCGGGTTGGCCAGCAGGTGTCACTACAGAACAAGATGTGTGTGTGTATATATATATATATATATATATATATGTATGTATGTATGTGTGTATATATATATATATACACACACACACATCTTGTATGCACACACACATCTATGTATGTATGTATGTATGTGTGTGTGTGTATATATATATATAAAATTATATTGCATTTACACACACACACATATATATATATATATATATATATATATATATATATAAATTTGATATGTATGTGAGCTCACACCATATTTCTATTATATTAATAATAATATTTAAAATAACAATAGTAATAATAATAACACATTATATTGTTGTTATTAATATTACTATTGTTATTTTACTACCATTTGCAGTCCTAAAATCTCCTAAAATAATGTGACCAGGTTTTGAGCAATCCGGAATCCCGTATAAATTCATCACTTTGGACCTAAAGGGTGTATACCCAGATTGGCCACTAGGTGTCAGTGCAGAGTCAGGTAATCTATATCAACAAAAATGCAATGTTAGTTTGTGGGATTAACATAACTCCAAAACTACTGGGAGAATTGACACCAAATTTGGACACAAGACACCTAACAACCTAATGCATGTCCTTCACACATCAAAACACTGAAAAACACAGAGCGGAAGGGACTTAAAAAGCCAAAAATCACATTGCAACGCATGCGCAAAACCACATATATATGCGCAAACACACCTATATACACACACAAAACATATACACAGACTGGGCCACAGCAACGCGTGGCAGGGGATGTTTAGTATCTCTATAAATAATTTTGCTTGTCCTCCTTCTCCCGTAGGCAGCGTTCATCTACCAGCTACAGATCCGATATCTACAGAGCCAGGTATTTGCTTGAAGAGGTGACAAAGCTCATCATCTGATGAATTTGTCCGGAATTTGTAACTTCTTGGGAAGCATCCCAGGCGCTGCCCCATCTATAGGTTCGACACCTCAAAGTTCAGACTAAAACCCGGATCATCAACTGCGAATTCCTTTTGTTTCAGGCCATCCTCCTGCCCCAGGTCATCACCGGCGTGGTGGCCAATGTCCTGAACATCATCATGAACGCCGTCTTCCTTTACACCTTCGACCTTGGCGTGGTGTGAGTTTGAATGTATATTATGTGTATACTAGCCGTCCCCTGCCACGCGTTGCTGTGGCCCAGTCTGTATATATCTTTGGTGTGTGTGTATATGTGTGCATACGTCTATATATCTATATCTATCTATATATACAAACATATATATACACAAATATATAGATAGACAGTTTGTATATATGTTTTGTGTGTGTGTATATGTGTGTATACGTGTATATATATATATATATGTAAACACACATATATACACATATACACAAATATATACACAAATATATAGATAGACTGTATATATGTTTTGTGTGTGTGTGTATATGTGTGTATACGTGTATATATCTATATCTATCTATATATGCAAACACACATATATACACCTATACACAAATATATATATATAGATAGGTGTATATGTGTGTGTGCATATGTGTGTATATACGTGTGTATTTGTGTATTTATGTGTTTATATGTGTATATGTATATTGTGTATACGTGTGTGCTTGTGTATATATGTGTATGTATGTATATGTATATGTGTGTATGTATTCATGTGTATATGTGTATTGTGTGCTTGTGTGCTTGTGTATATATGTCTATGTATGTCTATGTATATGTGTATGTATACATGTGTATATGTAAATATATGTTTATGTGCACGTCTATATGTATGTGTATATTTGTGCATGCTTGTGTACATATATGTGTATGTGTGCATGTGTATATGTATATGAGTGTATGTGTATATGTGTATATAGTTTATTTTGGGGGTTTTAAGTCCGTTCTGCTCGTTTTTTTGTGTTTTTAGGGGTGATGGTCACTCGTTGGCCTGAGAGGTGTCTTTTGTCCAAATTTGGTGTCAATTCATCCAGTGGTTTTTGAGTTCTGTTAATCCCACAAATGAACATTACATTATTGTTTATATAGACACTATGTCCCCTGCCACGTGTTGCTGTGGCCCACATGGGGGTTCTGTCTGGGAGGTTTGGCCCAATTCTCTCATTGGTGGAGTTCAGAATGCTCTTTGATTGTAAGTGAACTATAAATCCAGCAACTACAACTCCCAAATGTCAAGGTCTATTTTCCCCAAACTCCACCAATGTTCACATTTGGGCATATTGAGTATTCGTGTGAGTTTGGTCCAGATCCCTCATTGTTTGAGTCCACAGTGATCTCTGGATGTAGGTGAACTACAACTCCAAAACCAAAGGACACTGCCCACCAAACCCTTCCAGTATTTTCTGTTGGTCATGGGAGAACTGTGTGCCAAGTTTGGTTCAGTTCCATCATTGGTGGGGTTCAGAATGCTCTTTGATTGTAGGTGAACTATAAATCCCAGCAACTACAACTCCCAAATGACAAAATCAATTTTTTTAGTGAAGGACATACATTGGGTTGTTAGGTGTCTTGTGTCCAAATTTGGTGTCAATTTGTCAAGTGGTTTTTGAGTTCTGTTCATCCCACAA